GCTGCCTTCTGTGCTGTCTTCACCACCACACCCTGAGAGAGCTGCTTCCCTCCACACACACCTTGAAGTACACGTCACACCCTCACAGGTTACCCACAATGCCACCGCCCTTACAGGGGAAAAAGGGTGAGCTGGTAACAGTATGCACACATACACACTATGCAGACATAGGGCCTGTGTCCACACAGCAGCTGACTTCTTTTTTCAGTTGTTCCCTATGATGAGAGAGTGTATGTGACTTCATGCAGCAACCAGGAGCCTTTTTTCCTAGCGCTCCAGCTTTTGAGTGCAGCTGCTCCAAGCACCTCTAGTTGAAAATCTCGGAACGTTTCAGAAAGATGCTGGTGGCATCACTGCAGTTCCTTTAGCTACTGTATGATAGGTCAATCCGAAACTATCACAACAAAGTCAGAAAAGCGTGGGAGCAGATCATCAGGACACTGAATGTTGCTGGTGAATGTTGTGCTATTATCACTTCATGCATTGTAAGCTTGTTGTTAACTGTATAGTCAACTCTCTGTTAATGACTGATTGATTGATTTTTATTTGTGTCATGCACACGTCCATGTGCTCAACCCTCGTGGGTTTACAATACATCTTTACAATGATGTTGCAGTTACAATCAAAAGTATGCTATTTAACTACTCAGTCCAGAAACAGAACACTCTGCCTCCTATCCCAGACCTGACAAAGACATTCAGCCACAAAATGTTCCCTTTCTGAAACAAAACTCAAATTTTTTATGATCATCCAACCAAAAAAAAAACACAACATAGATAGAGGTCATCCTACTGAAAAGTACATTCCTTATGTCTTCATATACAGGACAGTCGAACAAGAAGTGAACCTCACTCTCAGCTTCACCTAAATTACACAACAAACAAATTCTGTCCTCTGGGGTGGCATTAAACCTTCCAGTCCCTAAGGCTAATGGTGACGTTCCTGAGTGCAACTCTGCATATAGGGATCTTTGTCTTTTGTTTAGATTATACTTCACGTAAGGTTCCACACTGTAGCGGTTCTTTATGAGACAATAAGTTGGTAGTTTTGGTTCATACCATATATCATCAGACCATTTTTCTCTAAACATGTGAAACATTTCACTCCTAACCTCCTGAATATCACAAAGGGACCTGCTCTGAAAAAAAAGACAAGTTGTTCAGTTGCTTAATGTAGCATTACATTAGCTACATAGCTAACGTTAGCGTCAAGATATTGTTGGCATAGAAGCATACCCACTGAGGCTGTTCTCATGTGTTGTTTGTACATTTTCCTATGAAGAGTAATGCACAAAAAATTGTACATATCCCACACAGTCATGAGCCAGTAATTTGTGCATAACCTAAGTATTTTTTAAGAGGGAAGTGGCCCCAAGCAGTCCAGTTAGGAGGCCGGTAGGGGCGGTGGAAGTTTCACAAAACACAGGACTTTTCTGTCAGGGGACAGGTGTTCAGAACCGTGTGAACTTTAAGTGAACTTTGAGGCAATTTTGAGTCTTGTTAAGTACGTCCTGTTTATTTTCCTACACCAAACCACGGTGACTTAACTTGCCTCAACCTAACCTCAGTAACTTTACACTAATACCTCACTTTACATTAAGGATGTCAATGTGGGCCACTAATTCTTAGCATATCATGAGAACCGTTGTGTGTGCATTTTCGTAGGATATCATATGAAACTATGTATGAGGATAGGTTGACCCGCATGGAGCAGTTTATTAAAAAAGCACTGGGAGCGTTTTTATGAAAAGCCGGGATGAAACGCTCCCCGGCGCCCTGCCACCACTTCTCTGCTGTTGAAAAACGCTGTGTGGACACAGGCCCTGAAAACAATTTATTTTTTGTTTTCCCAAGGTCCTCATTAGTCTGACCACCACCTGCAATTGTTTTTCATATTCCAATTCCATACCACGTACTGATTGTAGTTTTTATAGCATATTGTTTAAGTAGTTAAGATATAAGAAATCAACTCACTTAACTGTTTTATCCTAACAGGAAATGATTTGTGTGCCTTTAGACATCAATCAAACTGCCACTTTAGAACGTCATGTCACATAATAATAAAAAAATACCTTTAATTATATACTTTTTGTTTCTGTCTTACCATCACTTACAATTTATTTAAACGTTTAAGTCATTCATTGCATTCACTGTTGGACAATAGTGTTCAACAACAGTCACTCAAAAATCAACATTTATTTATGCTGACAGTTTTGAGCATACTTACTTTTGTCACTTCAAGAGTGAAGTAGGATTGAGATTCAGCTTTAGAGTGAGCTGTTACTGTTCACTTCTGTGCCACACAATGCACAATTATCCACAATTGTTCACATTTTTGGGAAAAGTATCCAACTTCCTCTTTGTGAACTTTGATTGGTAGCGACGTTGAAAAGCTTCAGTTTGATTGACATCACACGTACTGAACCCAATTACCTGCTAGTTACACTTAGTGCCAAAACAACATGAAGATAGCCTACAGTTAGTAAGCATTATGGAGCTGTGACACAGCAGTCGTCTCTTCTAACAAGGCTGGTGTAAATTTCATGACATTATCATCAAAGCTACCTGATTAATAAAAGCCATCAACAATTCAATTTAATAATGTCTCTATTCTTGTTTGATGCTGTGGGTCAGTGTGAAGAGGGGGATGTAAGGACCTTGAGAGGATAAAAGAACAATTAGTAGAGATTACAAGAAAATGGAGTAGTGCTAAAACACACACTTGCACACATGCACGCACACCAATCAATCTCCATTGTGGCAGCAGGGCAGCAGCTTGGCAGCAGCTAAGTGGAAATCATTTACTTAAAGTCATTATGGAAAGGAGAAAGAGGTCAGACGCTCTGCGAGGCAGAGAATCCAGCTCCTTACAGCGCTATCACAACACCATCAAGACAAAGACAGAGATACCATTTAACAGCCATCATATAGTTTGACACAGCGATGCATCATACTTTATTGTGATTGAGGCATTTTATGTCAGCTAGGTTTTCAATAATTCAATGTGATTCAGAGTTGCATAGCTCAAATATACAAGTTACTGTCCTGCTGTAGGCTGTACACGTTGTGCATAGGCATACACTGACCCCTCCAACTTTAGTTACTGTTGCTAAGCCTGTCAAGTTTTATAATAACGGTCCTGAATTTACCATCAAAATCCTTGGTCATTTCTTAAGAAACTGCTTCTTTGATTTTCACGCAGAGGTAGAAAAAAGAGGCATCTTATTTGTAGTCAGCCTCTAAAGATTCTGGTGTGACAAGCAAACTTTATTGTAGCGTCATAGCTAATTAAGCTAATTGAGCTGTCCTTGGCTGAATTTTTAAGTCTTAAAACACTCAAGTCAAGACAGCTAAAAAGCTTCTGTAAAGTGCCCAGTCTCACTCTGAAGTTGTCCAAAATTTGGCACTTGGGCAGTGACTTGCGGTGTGAGAAACCAAAGAAAAAAGGCGCCTTTTATCATCGGCATGATACACGGCTGGTTCCTGTTATAATTTGACGGCACCTGGCAGCGTCAGGTGGGAAACGCGGTGCAACAAGGACAAAAGTTAAGGCCGCAAGAGGGGTGTTGAATGGGTCCAACAAACCACAACTTTCACCTGAGAGAGCGGTGTTCACGTCCTGTAAGATTATAAAGCCAAACCGTTTTCTTTTTTCCTAAACCTAACCTAAAAAAAACCATGTGTCTGAACCATGTTGCTGAAGGAAAAAAAACGTCAATTTGCTGCGTTGTACCGACATAGTGCGTTTATTTCGAAAGAGACAGTGTTTCTAGGATGAAGACAATGCATATAACAGGCACTGTCTTCATTGTCGACGAGGTCTGAGTGAGAATGTGTTGCTCTTTACGGGTCTTAAATGGCTTCAAATGGTATTATGCTAAAAAAAACTGAGGCTAAAGCTACATGTCCCTGGCAAAACATTAGCATGCCCACCAGTTGTTGATTTATGTAGACGATATAGAAATAAAGAGTGTCCTATTTTTTGTAGTAGCTAGTTTGTCCTTATATTTTAAGTATGGTAAGGAAAATGCAAAATCACATTTGTATTTAATTGTAGCATAACCCTGTTTGGCTAATTTCCTACTAGTATGGTTCATATTTTCAAAGATTATTTTCATTTTTAACATTTCATCATGTTGACCCAGGTAAATGCACACTGAACACTTAACCTCAGGAAAAACACTGCTGAGAGCAGTAAGTCTTTTAATGAGTCATATTAAAAGGAATAGTAAGTTTGGGAACATACATAGGCTCCTGGTTGTAAGCTAGTTAGCCAAACATGCATTTGCAGCTTACATTTGAAGACATGAACACACTGTTTAATCCATTCCTCACAATTTTGCTCATGTATTTTTGTTTTTTGGAAAGAAACCACCCACTAAACTCTATATGGAGTGATGCTTTTGCTACAGTCTCATACAGATTGCTTCAAAATGTCCAATGTTTGACAACCTGCCATGGAGGGTATGTATAATGTTCTGAGATATTGCAGTAATTCTGTAAGTTTTGATGAGTTTTAGGTGCTAAATCACAATGTAATAGGGCACACATGCAGAGGAATTTTAACTATGAATCCAGGATAAGACATGCATACACCGTTATCAGACTCGCATCACTGTATTCTGGTTTAAAATCCTGCACGCGACACTCACTTTAAAAGTTCAGGAGGCATTTTACTATTTGGCTACCAGGTGTAAAAGAATATAAATCTTTGAATTTAAAGCAGGGAAGTGCTGAGAGGAGAATACATACTCAGCAAAACTCTCCCCTGTATAAATAATAAAGGTCTTTGTGCAAACTCAGACAGTCAGCCACACCGACCAACGCTCCTCATGCAGATCAGTATTGATCTGCCAGTCAGAGAGGCGGCAGAGGTCATGTTTAAGTTAAGGTCAACTAATGGATTCTTCTTTGTCCCAGTAAGCCCCACGTCAATGCAACTGACACTTTAATTACACCGATAACATTCCAGCATACAGTGACAGTGTTAGCATTACCAACCTCTGGGTGATTATCCTCCATGCAGAACAGGAACTCCTCCAATTTCTGCAACAAAAAAGAAACATTTGTTGAGGCCACACAGTCATAAACCTGCTCATGAATTATGGAAAATGCAATTATGTTGGCTGTGTACTGTATGTGTGCAGCATCATCATAATGAGAGGAGGTTGTAATTATTCAACACCAAAACTGACAAGGAGAAAATAGATTAACTGGCTCATCTGTACTGCAGGTTTTCTTTGTTAGTATTCAAAGTGTGTAATTGTACATTCTTCACTAAGGAAGGAAGTAATTACTGTACCTATTGGAGGCTAACACTTTGTTTGTGGCTTTAGGGTAAGTGCATAAGAAGGCCGAGTAACAACATATAATAATCAACAAAGTTTTAATTATTTTCTAATCAAAAATTGTGTAACCTTTAACGCCATGCCCTCATTGCTTTGCTCTCCAGTGAACACAGCTCTTTATGCAGTATCTGATTGTTTAAACCAGTGATGCTCAACGTAAGGTCCACGGACCAAATCAGGCCCACCATAGGGTGCTGGAAGGCCCGCCGACCATTTTGTGATTCACAATATAAATAAATTGATTCACACTGGGATTTTTTTTGTTGTACTTTGAATGTAAATAGGGTGCCCTTTTTGAAAAAAGCATCAAGTAGAGCTTGTTCATCAAATGGTGCCACCCCTGCATGCACCTGATCCAGTAATTATAACATATGACAGGCAACTACGCCCCACTGTCTGACATAATCATTAGCAAATTTAATCATAATCATAAATAAACTTTACAAAAAGTCATTATTATGGTGTACTACAGTTCTGCAAGTGTTTTGTCCAAGTTGTGTTGCCATACACGAGCAGAACACAGCTCAAATCCATATTCAACTAATGTTAATGTCTTTATTACATAATATTTGTGTCTGAGTAAAGTGTCAAATCATTTATGTCATGCCACATGTGTAATTCACTAGCTTTCACGTATTGAATATCGGTATAGTATACCGCAGCGGTTCCCAACTGGTCCACGGGGGTCCAGATGTCTCCTTTGACATTAGTTCCAGGTCCACACAGTTAGTGCCACACTTGCAATTGGTCATGTCGTTGAGCTAGGTTGCTGTCTCTGTCAAGTAGTTGTCCTTAAGTCACTTAATATACAACAGAAAATGGCACTTCAAAATAAAAGCTCTGCGCTGGAAATTTACTGCACTTGAAAATAAAGTGTGCCACTTGCAGTGCATTCAGCATGGGCCCATGACCCACTTTTGGGGCGCAACCCACCAGTTGGGAAGCACTGGTATGCTGTATAGCTGTACTTGCTAATGATAAACAATACAATATGGTAGGAACTGAGTTTTCAATTTTTGAAAGGCAAAGGAAGTTGAGTAGGCCTATCCCTGGTTTAAACACTCCAATTCTGAACCATCCGCACAAACTGGATTGTCTTTATTCTCTCCAGTAACATCCATCTCACAGCAACATATAATCATGTATTCTTCTAGATACAGATTGCAAAAGTTTTCTGGCGTCCAACTGATAATAAACTCTTCTGGTGTCTGTTGCCTTGAGGTAATATCTACCACATTAGCTTCCAAATTAAAGAGCATTTTTGATATGTGGGTTCTTGAATATTCAGAGAAGTTTAACTTTATGCAGAAAAACACTAAATGGCTGAAATATGAGAATAATAGAAAAAGATGTCTGATATTTTTTCTGTGGTGTTTGCTTCCCGCAGGAAAAAGCCTCTGGTGCAGGATATAAATATCCACTTAATGTGCTGCTATCCATCTCGTCTCTTTGATGAGAGATTACAGGGGGCTTGTTCTTGTGAAAAACATGTTCGCTGGCAGTTGTCATTTATGTTACTAAATGTTGCAAAGAGCATTTACGCTACAGATGTGCTTTTGCTTCTCTGTCCATTAACGTCATAGATTCTTTTTACTGTAGTTTATGCAGATTCAAAGCAACACTGTGACTCATTTCCAAAGAAGATTTCTAAATTGCGGAGCAGTGATGCTCTGAAATATTTAAGGACTGATGCTTAAAGTCTAAAGCTTTTAAATATATATATATATTTTTTTTTTTTTTTGCAGCCACATGATAAACATTTTGCTCCACTGAGCTCCAGTGTTTCTAGCTCAGAGGACACAGAAAACAGAGTGCACAGGACAGAGACAAAAGAAATAAATGGTTGGCTGTCTCACCTTTTAGTTCTTGGAGAAATGTTAGGAGGGGCCGGGCTTTAGGAGGAGAAAGAAAAGCAGAGAGAAACAAAGGGAAAGCAGAAAATGGATCCATGCAGTTTGTAAAATGCGGTCAGGCGGGGCAGGGAAACAAGACATCAATGCAAAGTTTTGGTTCATGGTTGCACTGAACAAGACAGTGAGAGAAGGTTAAGAGGATGCAGCAGTAGTAGAATTTAATACAACAATGAAAATCCACAGTTTTAATACATGCAAGTGGAGATTCTGCCAACAGCACCAGTAAAGATCACTGGCAAGTGTTTGCTCATGGCTACAGTCCAGTAAATCCATACTGAAATAAGTACATTTAAAATTCAAAGGATTAACTATTGTTAAAAAAACACCAAACATGAGTCTGTGAGCTCAAACTAACAAAATATAGTCTCACAAAAACACGTCTGGCAAGTGCTGTTTTTTTTTTTTATTAATGCTGGCTGTGCTGGCTTTGTTCCTATCTCAGACGAGTCTGTCAGACTACGTGGGCGGAGGAAAGTGTGAGGAGAGGAGAGAATGAGTTGGACTCTGCCCTGAGGCAGTGGACCTCGACTCACTGTGGGATAGACTGGCACAGAGCGCTCGTACAAACACACACACACAAGCACACGCTCACACACATGCATTCCCACTAAACGCATGTAATCATGCAGAAAGAGACTCTTAAATCTGCACTCTGTAGAATGAAACTCTTCAAGGAAGCCAAAATATTTCCAAACAGTTGCCTCCCTGACGCCCACATTTTCCTGGTTTAGAAATACCTTCGAGCAAACGTGCTAATAGACTGCTGCTCATCTCGCTGCAGACTTTTCTATTCTGAATGTGCGGACCAAAAATGTCCTCTCCAGTCAAGTGGTAAGACTGACCGAGCAGACACACTTTATGTGAGTTCACATTTTACGACACAGTACAAAAAAAGAACGAAAACGCGAGCGAATCTGAAAATAAGCTGTTCTCATGTGACCTTTCAGTGGCAAAGATGTGTTATATGTAGAACATCTGTAAGACTTCAGCAATGGACAGCCTCAAAAGGGCATCTGTTCACGATACTCTAACTGTCCATCTGCACGCATCTATCTGTCATGTATGAGTGCATAGGCATTTGTGAATAACAAATGTTATGTTGTTGCGTTACCTTAGTGAACTCAGAGTTCTGTAAGTTGGCCTCAGGACACCAGCGCCCTCCCAATGCAGTCAGCATGGCGCAGTCTTCTTCTTCTTTGGTGCACGGCTGAGTTGGAGGATAAACTGCTGCAGTGGGGAGGTCTTCGATGTCTCCTCCGCTGCAGCTGGGAGTCCGCAACTGGAGTCCTCGCAGGAAGAGGTGACATGCCTCCAAATCTGCTTCCCAGATCCGCTCCAAGCCTGGACAGCCACAACTGTAGAGAAGAAGAGACCATCAAATATGCAGCATGATATATGATATTTTATTAGGGAAAAAGAATGGACCAACACCTAACTGTCAGTCAATTACAAATATAGTACAGTTACATATGATATGATACTCTAACTACAATATATAGCAGTAGATGTATTCATATACATTTATTTATATAGTCACATTTTGTTCCCTTAATTATCATCTCTAAAACATTTGGACATAAGGAAGTGAACACAATAGTACATGCATATTTGTAACGTTGTGAATTAAAGGAATAGTTGGACATTTTGGCAACTGCACTTGTTCGCTTTCTTCCAAGCAATTACATGTGAAGATGAATACCACTCCTATATTTGTCTGTTCGTTAAGTACTGACCTGGAGCCGGGAGATGATTAACTTAGCATAGTGTAGCATAAAGATCAGAAGCAGGGGGAGACAGTGCTTAAACCTGTCTGTAACCACAACTAAACACGAGGCCATGAGAGTGGTTGTCTTATCTAACACAGGGCAAAGTAAATTAGTTTACATTGAATATGCATTCATATGGCCGAGCATGTGTTAGCAGCTATTTCTAATTGTTTTTAATGAGAATGAAGCATTTCGCTCGCTTCTTTTGCATTGCTGAGTGCATCATGTTTTACCAATCTACCGTAAAACGTCAATTAAAAGCCTAATCCCAATTAAACACCCAGTCCTTTTTATTAGCCTGGTGTGGCTACACGTTTTGACAAATAAACACCTGTCTCAATTAGATGCCTGGTCTGGTTGCCAAGCAGTTTTTTTTTTTTTTTATAGAAGTTCTCTGGATGTATAAAACCGGGTTGTTGGCTACTTCAAATTATGTGTCCATTCCTCGATAACCCTGTGAATTATTCATATTCCCTTAGTCTATAAGGGTCCTCAGATCAAGTGGTGTGTCAGTATGCTGGGTGCTGTAATCCTCGAGTGCCGCAACTCACTCTCTCTCTGATGTGATGTCTGTCGGAGCTAGATCAAATGAATGATTCATAATTTATATATTATCTAAAGCCTGATTTTTAAACAAGTAATATTAATACTGGTTTAAATAAACAATTTCATTGTATTTCCTGATCTTTGCTGAGCAACTGTTCTGTGTGAAATGACTTAAAGGCCTGTCCCAAATATAGGCCTGTTGAGTTCAGTGATTTAAGCGAATAATAGCCCGGGCTATAAGTTGAAGTTTTACTGTATGTGCCTTGTGTTTTCGCAGGACAACCATGAACACCTCAAGCTGAAAAACCTTCAACTCAGTCCAGAAAAGCACCCAATATCATTGCCATTTTTTCCCAGTGTCCATGAGATGAACTGAGCAGCAAGCCTTTTGTGGTGGTGATAACAACAGGGAGGACAAACTATTGGTGGCTGTTGCAAAATACCTGGAGCTGTATGATTTTACCAATCGCAATAACCATAATGTGAACAGGAAACAATGGGCCTGGAGGGAAATTAGTGTGGCACTTGGGATTTCCTATAAGTTCAGGCTATACTAATAGTTAACTATTAGGTAATGTTAGTGTACCGTTCATGGTTTGTGTTAACCGCTTGCTCACTTTCAACGTCACAAGCTGTAGCTTAGTTACCTATTAGGTAGCGTACAGTCCCTAGCAACAATTAAAAAGCAAAAAAAGATGCAGCAAGCTCGGTTTGATCAGGGCATAAGGGTATAAGATGCTACGCATATGTCATTAACATGTTGTGAGAGACTGTAGACATCATAATGACTAATGTCAGCACAATGAAATGTACAAAACAAGTGAAAAGCCTTTAAAGATACACTGAGGTACTGTATTCATGTCATGACTGTGAGCTGCTGCATGGTGACTGAGCACAGTAGTCATAAAGGCACAGTAAAGGACATCTTTAATAACATCTCTATAATAAAGCATTGACAAAAGAGTGACGGGGGGAAATGAATCATTCAAAGATTGTAATTGCATTGACAAAATGCAGTGAGAGCGAATGTGGTCCTGGTAGGCTGCCCTTTCCTTCAAAGAGCTGCAGCAGAGACAGAAGAGAGAGCCTGGATGTGTTCATCTCTGCCAGGGTCACTGAGCAGGAGTTCAGAGGGAGGACAAGAAGATTGCTTTTGTTTATCTACTCAGTAAGTTACAATCAGTCATTCTTTTTTCACTCTCCCTTGCCCTGACCTTTGTGACACCCCAGACACAAGCTCCCAGTGTAAAAACAGAAGAGAACAATTCAAGCAGCCATATCTGACTGAGCGTTTTATTTAGAAAACGAGCAACACGGCCAATGACCAGTGGAGTCCTCTGTTTATTGTTCTTTAGGTTCAGCTGGCTACTGTGCGAAAGCAGGTGTTAACAGTAACGCACACTTTATGGTATGAGACAGTCCACCAAGGTGGAAGTATCTCTAAGGGCGCCAGAGTGTTGACGTTGAATTATAAGCAGGTCTTTTTGGCTTCCCAAAAAACGGTTTTCCATTTCCTCTAAATGGCTCACATTTGAGACCTCTGACCTTTAAAATATTCATATTTATTCCTCTTCTTCTTTCAGTGACCTTTAGATAACAAATCATTCCCAAATAATTGGGGTCCCAGGTGACATTTTAGGAACCGAATCCACTGATCCTGTTTGAAATTCTACCTTTAATATGGTTTAAGAGGCACACAAAAAGTTTCAACACTAAAGAGCATAAATATTACTCTGTCTCCTCATGACATCCTTGTTTCCAGGAATCCATCTTGTGCAGAAAACAAACTAAAGCTGACAAGAAGTAGGGACAGCGCTGTGGGTTTTATCACATACGGTAAGAGACATAGCAAACATCTTAAAGGAAGAAATGTCCTCAATCATTCTGTACAGCACACGCCGATTTCCAACCCAGGAGGAGAGTCTCTGTCACAAACACTAATTCTCACATTGACTGATTCAGAATGATAAAAAACACATGAATTTCATACTCTAAGCACAAATAATCCTACATATAAGCCCCTATGATACACTCAGTATTTCCACCTAGAGAGCGCGTTCCTGCTGCACAGTTAGATTTGAGAAATTGCTCATTCTCCATCAAATATAAACAAACTCAAAAAGGCAAAATGCACCCAGACAGTATTGTTTAATCTCTCCCTCTGTTCCTTCCACTCTCTCTCCCAGCGATGAGGCCCCCTGAAAATTGAATGCCACTTGTTTTCCAGCCCATCTCCTGCCTGAAAAGGCTGCCAACCTCTGTACCCTGCCAACGCACGCCTCTCAGCCGTTCTCTAACCTTCATTTGGCACACAGACAATAGAAAAATTGCTCAGCCCAACCCCCCTGCCCTCGCCAATTCGCTACTCAATGCCGCCGCTTCAGAATGTCTACTATAGTGGGGACGCACCCAGTGAGCCATGCCATTGTTATTTGTCTCCTGTGAAGTGGAGAGGGACACACACACAGATATGGGTGGGCACACATGTGTTAACTTACACACATGCCCATAAATCACTCTCTGTGGGGGCTCAGTGTTGTACAATCATAAATTCCTCTAAAAACGTCAAACGCCGAACCTCATCTATCACAAAAGCTTCTTTTTCGGCGACAACCACAATTCATTATAAATAACTGGCACTGGCATTAGGGCTGCATGTACAGAAAATGCAGACAACATGTCAGCTCCTAAGCATCCCTGTGATGGTGGCCTCCTGGTGCCCGTCGGTATGACCCCTTCACCCGGGGGGTTAATTGGTGGCAGCCGCTTGGCCTGCCATGTGACAGTGGCGGGGTGTGGGTGTGCTGCTCCGCTGATGGCCCAGTAATAAGAAGGAGAGACAGGCAGGCACACTCCTTCTACAGTCTCTCAGCCCCCCTGTGGGACCGCTGACTGACAGGACTGCTCTTTCTCCTCAAGGCATTACACAGACAGAGGAAGGATTATAAATATAACTGTTGAACGAAGCAGCGGCCGTCTGGTCCTGTTGGTACCAGAAGGTTCAGTCAGACCTCTCCAGAGTGAAAAGGCACAATATTCTGAATGCTACCCAGCATCGGGTCATGTGTTCATCTTCAGGTCTCACACATGAATACCAATATGGGTGTGAAAAACAGCTCCTATCTTCAGCCACAGCTGGAGCTTTGAATCAGACATATTTTGGGTTAAATAAGCACCAACTCTCCACAAAATTACTACCCTGAACATAATAAAAATTAATCAGACTTTCACCTGTAGTCTGGTGTCAGTGCTTCTGGTATTACATACAATGAGAATTCACACATTAGAAAGCAAAGAGGAGCTGGTAATGTTTTCACCTTCTCATTCAGCAACATCTCAAATAACAGCAGCTGAGGAGAGGTGCTAATAATATGGTGAAATACAAGCGGCTGACGGCTCGGTGAGGTGTGATGGTGGACTGAACAGTTTGTAAGGTGGGTGGCTTCATTACTGGGATGGGTTTTTACAGCAGACAGCTGAGCAACCACGGCCCCCTTTGTTACAAACACTTAATATTTCTCTTATGTACATTTACAATTAAGTGATAATAGAGTTTCTGCTTTTCACTCTCTGCTCAGAGGCTCTCAGCAATTCCTCGATTTTAACTAAGATGTCTTGTCTGGGTATTTTAATGACTCCTGCACCAGTTGCATTGTATCCATTAAATATGATAAATGACATCCAAATCTCGACAGAAGAATGCATAAATGTAGGAAATATTCCAGAGACATTTCCTAATGAAACATCTACATAATGTATTAAACAACTGTGCGCTGCTGCTAATCTGAATAAAATGGGGGTTTTTTCTGTTCTGGTGACACACTTACAGCATCTGCGCTGCTCTAACATCCTGTTCTAGTCTTTAGCAAGGAAGAGATAATTGTTTTTTTCAACACCATCCGTCTCCACGGAGACCAGACATCTCACCAGTACTAATCTGCCTCTCTCCTCCCCTCCCCCTCTCCTCCTCTCCTCCTCTCCTCACCTCCCATCACCACTGCACTCCATCAACAGTAATGTACATTAGAGCTGACTGATAAAATTTACAGTGGATGATGGGTGCATGTGTGTGTGTGTGTGTGTGTGTGTGTGTGTGTGTGCACATGTGGGGACAATTGCCCATTCAATCAAGCCGAATATGTGTCACTGTGCCAAATTGGAGCTGGAGGAAGCGACTGGTCCTTGCCTAAAGGCAGAGCTGTACTTGTGATTTGATCTGGACCGCCTCGGGTTATGGAAGCTGATCCAGGGCTGGAGAGACAATCAATTAATATAGAATGTGATGAGCAGGAAAATTAGTTTACAGCACCCAATACGCAAGAAGGTATCCTTTAATGTGATTGCTCTTTCAGTGGTGATGTGGTTAGATACATGTGATGTAGATAATCAAGTCTCTGTTGGTGAAACTAAAAGATGGGATCACTGAATATAGAAGCTCTATTAAAAGGGGAGATATAGAGCACCCAGCAGCCAGCCTTCATTGGAGGCCAAGCATTCAATTATGTATTTCTGTTTTATTGATATTGGTTTCTGGATTTAAACTCTCAGAAGTTTACATCAGGGGAGAATAAATGGAGATTTTAGTGTAAAATAGTTTTATATTCAAGTTCAAGTTCTTTATTTATATTCAAGCACAACAATTATAGAGATGCAGTCGTTGGCAATGAAAATCTGAGGTCTCAGGGTCCTGCCAATAACACTAATTAAATATGTTTTAAAAGAAAAAGAAGATGAGGTAAAAGCAAAATGAGAATCTAAACATAAAAGAGTGCAAGTTAAACTAGGGGTAAAATATGACAAATAAAATATGAAACAGTTATATAAATGTATAAGACAGTATTTGCAGTGATTAAACTGAATATAAACAGGAAATGTACTGTAAATGCATGACGCTGAGTATAAATATAGTCTAATATGCACCATGCTCTAGTTGCCGTAGCTGCAACATGTTTTTGTTGCGTCCTCAGCACGACATCATACCACACCAGGGGTCTCATTTACAAAACAATGTGTAGGATCCGTGCTAAAAATGTACGTATGAGCAAAAGCCAAAAAATGAGGTGCGCCAATACTTTTTGGACAATTTCTACAATCAGGCTTCCACCTCACCATCTGCGTCTCCAATTTCTCGTTTCCAAAATGGCCATAAGCATGGGTCAAAGTTTCTCCCATCAAGTCTGTTTTTACACATCACAACTTTTGCATGGGAAGTGACGTACGCGTCTTTCAAGCCTCGTTTTGTGCGTACACAATGTTTGTAAATGAAACCCCAGGAGTGCCAATTTTATATTTGTTGATTTGGTCATTTTTCCTTGATATCTGTGAGTCTACCATAAGTAAGTAAGTAAGTAAGTAGGCTATGTAGTCATATTTTTGTCTGTTTTAGTCGTGTCTATTGATTTCCTGCTTTGTTGTGCTGTAGCCTAAAGTTAATATCGTTCAAAGTCCAGTTATGAACGACATGGATCATATTTGTGGCTTGTTTTAGTCATTAAAAACACATTCAACTTCATAATTATATTGTATCTTCATATATTTCACATACACTCCCTGTTAGTAAGAAAACTCAATCTGCTCTGTGCAACGCTCTGCTGAGCACTAAGTGCACCTCTGTAGTTTTTATAGTTATTTAAAGGGGCACTCCACTCGTCTACACATGAAGTTCAGTTACTGGTCACGAGTAGCACTACTCACTACTCAGCCAGTGATGATAACAGTTCTAAAATGTCTTCTGTGACTGAGGAGTTTTCCACAATTGGAAATAAATAACTATTGATGTCATCAGGGTCATCTCAGCTTGGGCTTGCAGATTTATTTTTATTTTTTAAAGATATTTTTTAGCCTTTAATGGATAGGACAGACAAGTGTGATTGTGAAGGGGGAGAGAGAGAGAGGGAGTGACATGCAGCAAAGGGCCACAGGCTGGAGTTGAACCCGGGCTGCTGCGGCAACAGCCTTGTACATGGGGCGCAGGCTCTACCACTAAGCCACCGACGCCCCGGCTTGCAGATTTTTTTTAACAGAAAGTCTGTGTTATACACTGGAGGTTTGGAGTTCGAAGACATTAACCAGAGAGGGAGAGTGTAAAAATTACACATTGCAGCGTTTTTGGTAGTATAGTACAAACTCCAAACTTTTTTTTTTTTTTTTTTAACTTGCGTGAGTCCCCTAACCTTGTGGAGTTTTCTGGGGGTCATTCTGTGACTGTGATGATTTTTGCTGTTGATGTAACGTTATGTGTTGCACATTTATTCTGAAGTTTCTGTCAGTGCGTTTACATGACATTGGAGAAAATCAATTTATTTTGTTAGTCTGACTAAAATACGTGTAAACATGTTAGTCCGACTGAAACGTACCAAATAAAATTGCTCAAAGTCGGACTAACACACCCAGATAATACGATTGGGAGTGGAATAACTCCTTTATGTATACAGTCGGACCCAAACTAGCCCAGGCGCATGCCTAACAGTTTCCATCCAGAAGTCAAATAGCATTAAATGCGTAACAGAAGACGAAGCCAGTAACAATGTGGCAAAATCTACATCCAGAGCCGTGAATTTTTGGACAGACGAGGAGACACAGTTCATGCTTTGTCAGCTGAAAGAGATAAATATTTCATGGATGGGAGGAAAATACGGAGTGGCAATTGTTTGGTCTGTGACACAATAGGTCAAGTGGAAAAAGATCCAGTACTAACAAGCTGAAGGGGGACATATCGCTACCTATGGTAGTGGAGTCGGACACACCTCAGTCAATAAACTGATTCCACTCACTTGCTTGCATACTGGGACAAGGACAGTAGTCCAAATAAATAGCCTGGTCAAGCTATAGCCTTAGCTTGACGTAACTGTGCATGTAAACATTCTGTATGTTGGAAGTCTGCTATGGTATCTAGTTTTGCCCTCTTGCAGTATGTATATTTTACCAATATAGTAAAACACCCTGTCAGATACATCTTCCAGTAAGTCAGCTATTGTTGCCACTTTGTTTTTTTCTTCACTTCTTTCACAACAGATACACGGCACAAACAGGTACTGTCAAGCAACTCTCAAAATCAAACAAACACAAAGCGGCCATCTGCCCTATTGACAGAAGAGGACCAGAGCCTCGCTCCCCTGCTGGGCACTGAGATCGCAGCCATGTTGCTCCCTGACCAGCCTGTGCTTCCCTCAACAAGTAAACAGCCCTGCAGTGTGTGACTGACCCCTGGCTCCCATCCAAAGAGTTGACCCTGCCTCTCCAAGGATGCAACACAGAAAGCTACCTGGTCTCACACACCACACACAAAAGCATGGGTCAAGCAGACACACGGTGTCTCTGACAATATAGGTTTTTCCCAGCTCAGAAAAAAAAAAGAGAGTGAGTAGAAAGCACAGCTCATGTGGTGTACACCAAAACCATTAGCAGCTCTTTCCATCCATCTGTAAACAGAAATGGATCCAGAATGCTGCAGAATAAGAGCTGATCGCACTGCAGCTGCTCCGCGCTTACTGTGTTAGTGGAGATGAGCTAAGCAGCTCCAATCTCCATAAAGAAGCACAAACACGTGTATGGTGTCAAAAGTTGACTGGGTCCAACAGCCTCTGCTCGAAAATTCAGCCACTCAGCACATCACAACCCTGTTGTGTAACTGTCAGGCGGGCTGGGCGACCACCCGCAACACAACAGACCTGTCCTGAGTGATTTAGGAGCTCTGAGATAAAGATAGGAACAGACAGAAAAAGATATAGTATTGTCTAAAACGGTTTGGGCAGATGAGGAGGTGGTGGAAACTAAGCTGATGTGGATGTTTACAAAATAAAAAGGTATATAAAATATGTGTGAGGGTGTGAAGAGGTAGACTAATTGTGCAGGTGAGAGACAGAGTGAAATGTGAGAAAGGAGCTCTGGGAGACAGCAGCATAAGGGAAAAGGTGTGAGTGCGTGATGTGGTGGGTGCGGTGGTGTTTCGGGGAGACGGTGCTTTGGTTAGAGGACAACAGAGGTGAGAGGAAATTCCTCGGAGGCTGTAGCTCTGTTTGTGGAATACTGAGTCTTCATGTCTGCACTAAAAAGAGAGACAAAGCACAAAAGACTCTCACCTGTGCAATCTGTCCTCCAACAGCTTGATATACTTGGTAGTGTTCTCTTTCAGTCGGCTTTCTGTGTGGAGAGAGGAGCAGAGACAATAACAGCCTGTTACTTGCACTTCATTTACTACTTTTATTAGGCATGATGGGGTATCCTAGCAACAAATCACAGCTGTAATACCATTAAAACAGACTTGTCACTTGCTATATTGTGCTTGTGCTGAGAAACCGCATACATACAGTTCAGTAGAAAGGGCCAGCAGGTTCTCTCTCAAGACAAACACACAACTGAGGAAAGATCATTCCCACCGCTCTAAGAAGGGATAAAATTGGAGACGGCCTGAGGATAAAAGGGGATTCTAACATGGCATAGGTCCTTATACAGTGCCAGATTTTCTGTGGGGCATTAAGTTGGATGGATAGCTTATGTTGCTTTCTGCGCCCTTCTGCCAGCAGTGAGCTACGCCTGAGGAGGCAGACGCAGGCTGGCTGAGTGTTAGTCAGGATGGAGAGGAGGGCAATCTGAGCGCCGTTAATGAGCTCATGTATGAAACATGAGAATATGCCCCCCGCAGCGGCAGATCTTTGAACACAATAGGATGCACTTATATCAAATTGTGCTGCATATATATGTGCACACAAGCCATAGTGTTTAATATGATACCTCCTCCTCTCTGCTCAAACACACACACAAAGCTGGACTCATGAATCTGTCCATCACAGCATCTTTACAACTCAACAACTCAGAGTCAATGCTTTCTCACATGCTGGTGCAGTGGTTCCCATCTTGGGGTCTGGATCCCCTTGGGTTGGGTGCTGGATCCCGGTGCCAATGTTTACAGTTTAGGCTATTTGTCAGCAAATAAATGTTACAACTCGCCAAGACCCAAGCCAAGCTCCATATTGCCTGCCACATGCTAATTAAAGTAAAGGAAGTTAGCAAGTGAAGTTAGCCTCCCTTTGGAACCTGACCAGGCTCACTAAAGGTGGACCAGCTATTCTCAATGTATATGCCACTCCTGAATGGCTAAAGAAAAAACATCAGTCAAAATCCAATATTTCTTTTGCTGTTTTTAGTACTGTAACTGTTAGTTGGTTTTAAAGTATTGTGGTTAGGGTATGTATTATTTGTTATGTGGATTTGTTAATAGCGTTGTGTATGTGTTCAAATATATATATATATATATAAGTATACTTTAAACTGTTATGTGTTAATATATTTTTTAAATTTTAACATTCAAATTTGTCTTTGCAATAAAAAAAGTATTATTTTGGCCCCACTATTGAGAAAAACCCCAAACGATATCCAACCCTACCTAGTCCCGCAGGAAGTGTGGCTCTAAAGCCAATTTTCGTAGTGGCCAAACAGTGGAATTACAACTCTTGGGTTTGTCACATGATGCAGTTGGGCCCAAAACGATGTTTTCCAAAAAGACTTGATGAAAGAGACGTTAGTAAATTAGTGTTTTTAGCGTCACAACTCCTGTGAAATGACTCATTCTACTGTCAGGAAAGTCTAGAAAAGCCACATGATTAAATCATTATATCTCCGTTCAAGTTAACTCTTAACCCAAATCTTCCCAACCAGACGTTCCAGCAGGAATATGATCCGAAATCGTGAAGAAATTAACAACATGGGCAACCAAGATTATATTTTTTCCAGACGTTAGCATGTAGCTACATGTAGCTGTGTACTGCTGCAATGTAAAGACCTGCAGTGGCGTGCCTGGAGCAGATGACAATATCAAGAAATTAGTCACAAGCTGACGTCAGCGTGTCTCCAAAGTAGAAAAAATGTTGGAAACAGAGCAGTCAGAAAGGTCTAAACCTGAGGTTTTAGCTCACAGGAATCACTTTTACATACATTTACCCCACAATTTGAAATGTTGACCCCATTTAATATGAACATCCTAACATTATATATATGACAGAAAATAAGATAAACCCCCAGTAGGTTCCCTTTAACTCTCTACAAGAAAGTGAATAAACATTTTTTTCCAAAATGTTGAATAGCGACATTAACAGAATACATACCACGTTAAAAAGCTATGATGAAGTCTCAACTAGACATCACTTCATTTTCAGGAAACAAAAGCCAAAAATGGTTGGAAGCTACTCTAATGTAATGTCACTTAGCTTGCTCACACAGAGAGAAAGTCACCTAATTGGATGTTCTGAATCATACTGAGGTTTGAAATATAATTTGTATCATTGTCTTGATGGTGGTTATTAGACAGCATCAGCTCCGGGATGAGACAGGCTGGGGGCTGGCACAGTGGGGCGAAAAGGAAGAAGTCTCAGACTAAGTGGCTGTGACACACCCACACCCACACACTTACGCACACACATATTACTGCTCATACATTGGAAAAGAAATGAGATGGCAGTAGTCGTGTTATTTAATGGAGTTGCATGTGTGTGTCATAGAAGGAGAGATCTCGCCTGAGAGTCGTTTTCATTCGTAGAGGCCAAACCTGCTCAATCAGAGGGAAGAAGGAGGCCACTGGAGTAGCTATCACATATCTAGTGAGCAGATCTGGTGTACGTGGACCAGACAGCTCACTTACCACCCCTCTAATTGCTGTGTGAGATCCTATCCCACCTGACACAGACTCCCATGTCAACCTCCATTCATGGCGGGTCTGTAAAGCAGCGTGCAAGAAGATAGCCATTGAATAATACATAGGGGGCATTAAGCCTGACTTCAAGTGGCACAGAGCATGTACAGATGCGAGATGACTAAGTGGGCTAGGGCTCGAAAAAGGGCAAGAGCCAGATTTAGAAATAATATACTGTGAGGGATAGATACAGTCCATACAAAAGGCAGATGAGAGACAGACATGAGTGTATTAGGTGTTAACTTATTTTTTATTTAATATTTCTTTCTATGCTGATACTGAGAGGCAGTGTGCCATCCTGTCGCCATGCCAACCGGTGGCAAAACTAGCGAGCCTCTTCGGGCGTGACAGATGAAAATAATCTTTTCTTTATAGAACGAGACAGGACATCAAGCAGTAGAGCCTCCTCCTGCGCAGAGTGGAACCAGAGCACTGGGTGATATTACCACTTCCTGTAAGTCTGCGGGAGGCTGCCGTCATTGGCAGGCCATGCGAATAAAATCGGCACTAAAAAGCCCATAAAGAAGAGAGCCAGTCTGTTAGTCCCTGATACATGCGGCAGTATATTTGGTGTTGAGGGAACCTCACAAAGGCGCTCGCAGAGCCTGCGCTGGAAAATTCATGAGCTCAGCCTCCCCTCACACCAGTGATCTCAGCAGGCGCTAAACATCACTGATTGCTGCCAAGGACCCCGGCCAAAATCGAAGAGGCCATTCATTCATAACACAAACACAACTGAGACTCAGCATTGAAAGATGATGAGAATGTGCCACCGGATGCTGCAAAGAAAGCCATTTGCTTTAAATAGGTCAAAATACTCATTTATTAGTCTAATGAAGAAATAATTACTTCAGCTAAATACATGTTAAGTTGATAAAATGATGATGAAGCTGACAATGATTACAATCAGTAGTGTCGACAGACAAAGCAAATGGAGAAGACTTATCGCAACGTGATGCACAGTTCCCGATGATGAAGTTATGGGCTTTAATGAGCCTGCAGAAGTTAACGATGGCAAGGTGTTTGGATTTGTTGCTGCATTATGAGCATTTGAGCAGCTCTCTAATTGAAAGTGAATAATGCAGCCATTTCTTCATCGCCTTGTAACAATAAAACCACCCAACATCTGTGAGTCCTTCGCGTTGTCAAACAAATTAGAGGCGGCTCCGTGCTAACGCAGCACCACCGATACGCGTGTTATAAAAGCCTGCGCATAATAAGGCAGAAGAGAAATTGTGTGTCTTAGTAACTGAATTGAAGGCACCGACTGTGATTAATGTGTTTAAGCTCAGCTCGGGCTGTTTGAGTATAACAGCACTGCAGGTAATACAAACACACAGTCAGCATATGCAGACACTCACATCGTATGCATGTATCTGAACTTAACAGCAGCCAAGCAGCATAGCTAATGAAGGAAGAGGGACAGGCTGATATCTCAGACAGACACTCAATAACCCATGATGCTTTAAGGCTGTGGGATCACAAAGCATAGCAGTACACAGATTGCAGCTGGCACGGCGTAACATATTGTGGGGCTATGCACGAATGCACAACAAAAGGAATCATTTGACAAAAAATTGGCTGTCTGTACAAAATCTGTGCTTGGGTGAATATATATATTTCAGTTCTGGGTGCTGAATCGCTCTGACTGAAATGTTAGACATGCTCACTGTCATTATAACTCTAGTCAAACTCAGCAAACATAGTTTGTTTAGAGGAGGCTCCAAACTTACTTTGCTGTGGGCTGCAAATAACCTTTTTTTTTTCTATGGCTGAATCTGGGAAGCACTTAAAGTTCCAACAAAGAGGAACACTCCCAAATTGTGCAGCCATAAAAGCACTAAAACACTATCTCAACAGCTCACCTGCTCACATTCCTGCTCCATTAAACCCGCATCTTATTATTTCCTCCACATCCTTTGGGAAACTCCATTAGCACCAGGCTGATACATTTCCCACAAAAGCACATTTCTGAATTTGTCACCTCCCTTTGCTGAGGAGTTTTGTCCAAACTAGCCATGCGAGCTGCTCTGTGATGCTGTGCTTAGACACAGTGGTGCTTTCAGCTGAATGCTACTGTCAGCATGCTAACATTCTAATCAAAGGGTTATCTGTGGGTCTGAAAAGAGAAGTCGATGCAGACGTGCCTTTGTAAAAACGGGAGACGCAGTGGTGCTACCCTAGCACTAATAGCTGTGACTGGTTGATAACGAAATCCATATTCACTAAAGGGTGTTTCCATCTAGAACTAATTAAATGTCACTGTATTCCCTCTTAATCCCTTCTTTCTTGCCACACAATCAACACACACTCAATGTTCATACAGTTTGTGGATAGTTGGATGTGGTTTTTCATGGATCCTACATGTGGTCCCACCAGAGTCCCACCAACTTCTTGATGTATGCTCACAGTAATGTCCACAAACTTAATCCAACAAGGGCAAAACACGATTAGG